CAGTGCATGACGTGGGTGCACTTACATACATATAGGCAATACATGCATACACATAAAATAAAAATAATAAATAAAATATTTTTTTAAATAATAAAATATTTTTAAGAAAGGAATGCATTTTTTATTATTTTTATTTTTTTATCCGTATGCATATATTGCCTGCATGTAGGTAAATGCATCTATGTCGTGCAATTCCCTCGGAAGACAGAAGAGGCTATAGGATCCCCTGGAACTGGAGTTACGGACAGTTGCTAGCTGCCATGTGGGTGTTGGGGTTCAAACCCAGGTCTTCTTCAAGAATGGTCAGTGTTCTTAACTGCTGAGCCATCTCTCCAGCCCCAGGAATGCATTTTTAGAAAGATCTTTTATTACTGGAGATCCTAAAGAACAATATGGGAAGACTGACATTGGGAATGTCAATCACTAAAAATATCATTAATTATTATAGAAGCAAGAAGTTCATGAAGTTAGCATTCATGTGTAATGCAGCGCAGATGAAACAGACATCAGACAGTTGAAAATGTAATCAATTTAAATGTCTATAAATAGCTATCTAGAAAAACTAGACTTTGTTAATGCTCACATTTAACAATCGAAAGTGCCAGCACAGTATGTGACATGTTTACTTGTACTACCTTTCCTATGTATGCAGGTTAAGAAAGACAATGAATTAATAAGGAAATACATTAAAGAATGCTAAATTATGACAATACAATCCCAAGAATATTTAGAAAATACTAGTAGTCATTTTGATGACATCTAAGGAGAAAATTTTTGTTTATATTTTGAACAATTTGTATATAGCCATCACCATGATTATCTTTTCAGCAGCATTAAATTTGAATAAAATTTATTCAGTGAATGTAAGGATACATTGGGATCCTGTACTTATTTGCCTATAGAATGTGTTACCTGACTGTGGATCCTATATTTATTTTCCTATAGGATGTATGTGTTACCTGACTGTGTCACCACTAACTTTTCTCATCTTTGAATGCTCTGTTCTCTAGAGGTGATTAGAAAACAGCTGTCAGTTAATCCCAGTTCAGTCTACATTGACATTCTCAGCATGCTTAACATAGTCATTGTCCATTTCTCAGACATCTAATCACCATCATTTTCATTTCATACAAGGTATTCTCATTCCTTGTTTGACATGTACAAATCTCCCCCAGCATTGATTCTGTGGAGCCCGTCTAGAACATCAGGAAGACCTGGCTTGGATGACAATGTGAGCAATTTGCTTCTTCCCAAAATACAAGCAACTGCTGCTTATGAAGCACAAATCAGGAGTCCTCACGTAGACTCCTCAGTGGCACTTTGAGTTGTTCAGGAATATCCCTGCCCCCCGTCATTCTCGTTAGAGCTGTAGAATGTAAAAGAACTACACAGAAGTGTGCAACGCTCCCATTCTTTCTGTTCTTTGATCTAACTTTATGTAAAGTTGATGTACAATTGCAGATGCTTAAGGTGAATTCTGTGTGGATTTTTTCCACTTTATTTTATGTCTTAAGTGTTCCATCTGGGTCCAGAAACAGGAAGAACATGATCAAGCTTCAAAGTCAGGCTTTCTTGTCATTAATAATAGTCATAACAGTGTTAAAATACTGGCATCAGAAATCCCATTAAATCACTTTCTTGTCTTTTTGCAAACATCCTCTTGGCACTTTAAGCAACCAAAAGGCGTATTTTAGGCTCAAATTTAAAGACAAATCCTTCTCTTTATATCAAAATTATAATAAAGTTCATACATTCATATACAGTGTGAATGAGTTAAGATTTTTTTTCTCTTGAAACATAATTGGGTGTGAAGAAGTTTCTCAGTTGAAGGTCAGGTTAAGGGAGAAGGATACTATGTAACCTCATCTATTCTAATGTATGCCCATACAGAGGCTCAGCAACAAGTCCAGAGTCCTGGCCAGCAGCCCCAGGGGCCCCCTCCTGGAGGGTCCCCTCCAAGTCCCTCTGCTGAGGATGGAGATGATGGTGAAGATTAAATTTCACAGGAGAGACCACCACCACAAGGAGACAATCAACAACCTCCTCATCCTGGAAAGCCACAAGGCCTGTCTCCACAAGGAGGCCAGCAGCAGAATCACCCTCCTCAGCCTGGAAACCAGCAAGGCCTACCCCAAGGACCACCCAAGCAAAAAAAAGTATAATTTCAATCTACGCTTAAATGACCTGTGGACCTTTTCTCACGGTTAGTCATCATGGTCCACTGCAATGAAAAGGTAATAAATGCATGATTCCCATGTCATTATTGAAACATGGGGATCGTGGTCATCTTCCTAAGGGAGTGACTTCATGGCTTTAATTGCCACAGTAATGTAGAATTCTAAAGCCAATATGACTTTGATTCTGTCCCTAGCAAAGGCCTTAGTTCTAACATTTTCAGATGGCTAAGATACTAAGATATCATCACAGAATGTTATAAATCTCATGTCATAATCAATTCTTTGTTTCAGACAGTGAATGAGAAGATCAGAACCTTCAGAAAGTAATGGCACTGGTGCAATGTTATTGTAACTGTCTCCCATATACTAATAATATTCTCAGCCTGATTCCTGTGTGTTGCCCCAAGAACAGAACACATTCATTGAGGATAGCTTCATGGGTTGTTCCAAGAAATGTTGCCTTTCCCTTTATTCATAAGCCAGAGATTGTGTTAGATATTCCTGTTATTATCACTTCTCTTTAGTGTTCTGTCCACAGATGCTGTAATAGAGAAGTGGAGGAAGTTGTCGAAAACGTGATGAAAATATCAGGAAACAGCATAGGAGACTTAGTGATCATCAAAAACTCAGGAATGATGGAAAACCTGTAATATCCTTGTAAACAGGTGTTTTTCTATACCCTGTCACTGTGGATTACACATTGAAAACAACAGTTTTTCATAATCCCTTTTATGACCAGTATTTCAGGACACTCATGACTGGTGTACATGTAGAGACACAGGCTTGTTTTTTTTTTTTCTTATAGATAGAACTCACCTGCTCTATTTCCAGTTGATTTGTGTAAAGTCCCTGTTCCTTCAGAAAACGTTTTCTGGGCATTTAAATCGTGCCAGCTCACATTCTTCCTCAGATGTGGGCAATATTGCAAATAGAAAAGGATATGTTAGAGACACTATGTCACTCAGCATTTGACCGCCTTTTCAGTCATTTGAATTTTCCATACTTGGGAGACTAGAACGATGTGCAGTAGTCCAGAACATGTACTAGTGTACCGAATTCAGGAGGACCTGAGTTCTGGTTCCACCGCCTTCATCAGGTGACTTACAACCAACTATAACTGCCTCTGTAGCCTATCCAAAACTCTCTTCATGAAATGCCTTCTTCTGTCCTCCACCTGTATGCACACATGTTTCACAGAGACACACATATAGATGCCACATTTAAAATAAAAATAATATCTCAAAATGATTATTATATATTTGGATCTTATAGACAAATGGAAGCCTTAAAGTTCTCCATATTTATGTGTTATTTTGCAATCTTAGGAAAAGAAGAACTATTTAATTGTGTGAAATGGTCATGCTGGGTGAGAAATCCTTAACATTTTCAAAAATAATTTATGCTGGATGTTTCTGTTCTGCTCCCGAGCACACACAGGTCTCCTTCTCTTTAATTTTCTCAGGTGTTCCTCTAATTGAATTCCTGGCAGGACATACTTTAAAGAACCCCAGTGCATTTTCATGTATTTTTATACATTTAGGAATTTTAAGTGATTCACACATGATTTTAGCGTAAACCTTTGTAATGTATTCTCTGGGCTATGATTCAGCTATTTTGTAGATCGGTAGTATAAAAGAAATAAATATGTAAAAATAGCAAGTTTTGAGTAATGTTGAATGATTTGTAACAAATTAATCACTAGATATTCAATATGTGATGTCCCTGCATCAGAATCATCATCCATTTGCTCACCTATGATGCAAACTGAAGAATTATCATGCACAGCTGAACCAGAGATCTATGCTAGACCTCAGCCTCCAGAGACCATGCTGCATGATGTGTGACTTTCTAAAGGAACAGGGTGTTCAAACTAAGCCAGCATCAGATAATACCCTGTCCTACATTGTGTCTGTGGTCTTGGGGCCCCAGACACCTGGGCAACCAATACTGCTTCCTGACCCCTTTCATCCAAACCAACTTAGTCCCTTCTCTGGGCCCCAGGAGCACTGCTTCTGGACCTGGCCCTGCCCTCAACTCCCTCTGCTTCCCTGGGCCTGCACCATCTGCCATCCTCTTTCTGAGACTTGGGAGCTGACCTTTCCTCTTCCTGATCCTTTCATCCAGACCAACCCAGCTCCTCAGTGCAGTCCCCAGGACTCCTTGGGGGCCTCTTCCCGCCCCATCTGCTTTTGCATCTCTGGGTGGCATGGCCACCAGCTGCCCTAGACCAGCGTCTTTTCTGGGCCAGGCTCCCAGGCCAGTCCAGCCCCCAAATTCCTGAGGCCAAAATCTGTCCTGGAGGGATCCAGACCTTAGGAGAAAGCCTGAAATCATGTGACCCTCATCTGAATTGGGCCTCTGTGGGAACTCCTGAAGACAAAATCAATCTGGCCATTCCAATATAAAATCAAGAGAGAGAACCAGAAGCTTAGACGAACCAGCTTTTCATGCCCCAAAAGTAAACCACAAAGACACATAAAGTTCACAAAAAGAAGTAGACCTAAACTCGAAGGCCTGTTGTCTAATATTGAAATGATCTTTTAGGTTACAAAGGTGCAATCAGTCTCAGGACTGAAACTATTAAGTCTGATAATGGAAAGAGTAGGGGAGTCTAAATATAGTTAAGATTTATTGTATGAAATGCACAAAAATCAATAAAATATACATAACAAAAGATTCCAGAATGAGTCAAGGAGTAGCACAGAAGGCCTCACCTCTTGCTGAGCATCTATTGAGAGTTATGAAAGGGATCTAAAAGAGTTATGAAAGCGATAGGGTTTTCTCTAGTATCTATGTCCTCTCCTGCCATGTATATTTGGCTGAGTTTATACTGCTACCCAGGAGTTCAGTCCCACTGAGAGGGCTTTAAGTCCAATTAGATAGCTGTTGATTTCCCCCAGATAGCAGTGCCATTAACTGCACCTATATAGAAAGTTTGCAGTGCTGGTCATTATGATTATTAGGGTTTAGGGCTAGGTTGGAGCATTGTTTTTCTTCCTTGACTGTTTACATATTATCATCTAGCATTATGACAGCTAGACACCAACCTTCCTCCAATGAAATTTATGTACAGTACAGAACATCTCCTTTGAGAACAGAAAAAGGAAATCCATGACACAGACTTATTAAAGTAACCTCCATTCATCACTCAGTATTTTCTGAAAGCGATGTAAGACCTGGATACATTTTTGCATCCTAGTGCTACACTTTGCCTTCTTTTCAAGAATAGGTTCAGCTAAGAAAACACTGTTTGAGCTTAGAAAGATGCAAAGGGCTCAATTTGCCATTCTCATTTCCTTTCTGGTTGGTCATGGAAGGAAAATGACCCAAATCCCGCTCATGAGAAAGTTTATGCAAAGATGCTTGCTGGGGAGTTATCTGCAGAATGCCTGTACTCCCCTAGTTTCTCAGGAGACACTTTGATCTCTCAAGGCATTTTATGGTGTCCTGCTCATTATATTTTACTAAACTGTACTCTCTCCTCTTTATCATTATTCTCTGTTCTATAAACACTCAGCTGTAGCTCTACTGAGTATGAGCATATAAGCAGAGTTGCCCGTGCTTTTGGCACTCGTGTGTATGAAGAAATAAAACTCAGGAAACCACACGAGTCCCCTGGTCTTTTTTCAGTTCCGTGATAATCCACTCACATCCCGTGACTGCCCCACTGATGGCCACAAACTGCTCTTCAGAATCCAAAATGAGATTGAGTCTGATATCACACACATCAACACAAAGGGAAGTTATCACACTTAAGTATTTAACAGATGCTTGTTACTGGGAACTGCTGCAAATATCAATTAGGAAACCCATGGTGAAGGAGAGGTACTTGCTGCAAGGGATGCAATTAGGGGGCGTCAACAATTTAAAGTAATATACCCAACTCCAATAGACCCTTCCCACTAAAACACAATGTCTAAATTCGCCAATGGAATCAGTTCAATTGGCACATGATTCTTCATTTTGTCCTGAAAGACAGTAATTATCCATAAAGATTTCGATATCCACCCAAACTACCTATCTTAATTGAAGGATAAAATGAACTTTACATATTAAAAAGCTGAATGAATGCAGGACCCCTAAACCATCACTAAGGAAGTTATATGAAGAAATCCTTCCTTAGGGTGAAGAGAAAGATAAGCACAGCTGGGGGCTGCAGGAGACAATAATGCCACCACAAAGAAGATAAGAAAGAGGAATTGAATACAATCATACTATGAATCAAATTATAATAATTATAAACAATATTTTAAGAAAAACTCTGAACATTAAGACTTGGAAGTTTGGGGACTGCAGAGATGGCTCAGTGGTTAAGAGCACTGAATGCTCTTACAGAGGACCTGGGTTCGATTCCCAGCACCCACATGACAGCTAAGAACAGTTTGTAACTCTAGTTCCAGGGGATCTGACACCTTCTGACCTTGTACATTGCACCTGGGTGCACCTATGTACATGCAGGCAATACACTCATACATATAAAATAAAAAATAATAAAATAAAATAAAAAAAGATTTTGAAGTTTGTACTTATATTAAGAACTAGCAGATTTTTAAGTTTGACAGAAAACTAAAGGACTAGATACTTATATAGCCTTTATTATACTGTGGTTTGCTGTCTCCATCCCTAGTCTCTGAATGACCTTTGTCAGGAAGGAATGTAAAATTTAGTGAGAGACTTTTTCTGTGTCTGTTGAGATAATCATGTGATTTCTGCTTTTACAGTTTAAGTGCTGAAATACATTTACTAGTTTAGTTATGTAGAAACATTCCTCAACTTGAAGCCAACTTGGTCATGAGGACCCAGATGTAAGTCCTCTAAACTGTGGTTCCTTGACTTTAGATGAAGATGCTAAAAACCTCCATCAGAGAAAGAGCATCTTCAACATATGGTTCCTGGCAAACTAAATTTCAACATGTAAAAAAAAAATGAAGCTAGATCTATATCTCACCCTGCACAACACTCAACTTCAAATTCATTAGGTACCTAAACATAAGAACTGATTCAGTGAAACTGCTAGAGGAAGAGT